CGGAGCCTGCAGCGGGCGGTGCTGTCCCCGGGCTCCCGGCCGCGGTGGCCGCCGCCGAGGGCAGCTGGAGAGAGCGGGCGCAGAGAAGGTAGAGCCTCCCCGACCCCCGCCTGGGCTCTGATGGTCACGGAACAGCGGACCCTGGGGCGAATTCCTGGGGAGGGGGTCTGGTCCCATCACCCGGGCGAGGGCTTGAGCCAAGCAAGATTCCTGTGAAGTCACATAGTGAAATTGGAAAACATACGGGACCTCCCTGCACGCCAGCGCCGCCCGCTTCTCCCCGCGGGGCTTCGGGAGGATGCGCCCCGACGCCTGCACTCGGGGACCGCAGGGACAGGGTGTCTGGGAGGGATGCGGGTCAGTGCTCCTCGCACAGCCCAGCCTGTTGGGAGGCTGAGGGAACAGAAAGACACCTGTTGGGACGGAATTCTGACAGGACAGCGACTCTCCTCTGCCAGCCCAGCCCTTACTAGTGTTCATTTTCCCCAGCCAGCATCGGCTCCTTTGCCCCAAGGTGAGCCCGAGGGTGAAGGGTCAGCTCTGTGCAGGTCGCTTTCCTTGCTGTCAAAGGGCCCAGTGTGGGGTGTGACCAGAAGCAGCCCAGACTGGTCCTTACCATGGTCCACCTTGACTTCGGGGTGCCCACCTCCAACTTGCGTCTTCCTCACCCTGGGTGTGAAAAGGGACAACAAGCATACATTTGTGCAGGGAGGGGGAGTCGGCGCCTGCTCCCCTATGCAGGGGAGGGTGGGGTGGACTTTTCCAGAGAGGGAGCCAGGCCTGGCCCTGGCCCCAGGAGCTCTCGTCACCCCCCACCCCTCACTTCTCCAGAGAGCTGCCAAAGCCAGCTCAGGACAGGATTATGTGTACTGGGTAGACCACGGAGAGGCAGCAGGGACAGACCTGGGGGAGCAGAGAGAAGCAGAGGGAGGTGAACAGGGGACCAGCATCATCGGAGAAGAGACAGGTTGTGTCCATCACCCCTTCCAGCCTAAGGCAGGCAGGTAGAACATGGCTTGAACATGGCTGCTTTTCCATCAGGGCTGATGTGGACCTCTGTGGCTGGCCCAGCAAGGGCAAGGAGAGGGCCCAGTCACTTTGTTTCCTTCTTCAAATTCCCAGGTCCTGGGGTCCAGGGGGGTGGGAGGGAGCAGGACCTAGCTTTAGTTCCCTCCTGGGGTCCTTTGCCTGCCCTGAGCTGGCCTACCTTGGCCAGCGATCCTTGGATTCCTCTGGTGGTGCCTGCCATTCAGATCCAACAGAAACAGTGTTTTTCCTGGAAAGCAGAGCTGAGATGGGATGATGGGTGTGGGTGGGGAGGGCCTCAGAGAGAAGAAGGGGCTGGAGGGCAGGGAGTGGGGAGAGACAGACTTTGAGGACAGGGTATGGAAGCCCCTCTCTACCCAGTGTTCAAGGCTAGACTTCGGGGTGGACTTCCCGGGTAGACCAGAAGGAGAAGCTGGTGGCTGGGAAGTCTGAGCTTGCATGGCTGCCTCTCTCCTTCCTAGGGGCCCAGCCATTTTGGCTGAGCATCGGAAGAAAAAATAAAAAGAAGAAAACTAGCTGTACACGAGCTAGGTCGCCATGAGCCAATGCCTGGTGGATGCTGGCACCCACAGGGAGGCTAAGCACCGCCTTCTCCCGAGATGAAGCCATTAGACCACTTAGTTTATCCCTTGGACAAGAAAGTGCCTGACTGTTCCTTCATAAGGAGCTTTAGCTAAGAGGGGAAGTAAGGCCTGGAGAGGGAGCAAACAAATACTCGGGTTTTTGTCTTGTTTTATTATTTTTTTTTGGGGGGGGGGGAAGCAGGGGAGGGGAAGGCTGGTTTTGTTTTGTTTTGTTTTTTGAGGTAGGGATCTTCTGTCAGCCAGGCTGGCCTTGAACTCCTGATCCTCTTGCTCCCCATCCCAAAGGGTGGGATTAAGGCTTCTGCCTCCACCCCTGGTGCCAAGGGCCCTCTGGCTGGCCCCTCACAGGGGCGCCTGGCATAGCCTGCCTCCTCTTGGTCCCGTAGCTCTGGGAGAAAGACCCTCCTGGTTCAAGCTGGCTGCGCACTGCCCCTCCTTAGGCTTCCAGAGAAGCTAAGCCTGTCTTGGGCCTCAGGGAGGGACTAAAATGAACTCGAAGGCTGAGGTCAGACCCCCCCACCCCACCCCTCGCCTCAGCAGATGGCAAAGACAGCGTTCCTTATTGCTCCCACCCTTAGGTCCTAAAGGGGTGGACCAGTCTTCCCCTCCACTCCGCTGGTGCTGTGCCTGCCGAGACAGCCCTTCAGTCTCCCGGCTATCTGGAGGGGTAACCACTATGCTTCTTCCTCCACAGAGCACCCTCCGTGCCCAGATGCCAGAGTAGCTATCCTGTCCCCTGGCCCCTAGCCCGGGCACAGTGGAGGAAAGAGCAATGGAGACCTGGCTGGGCAGGTAAGAGCAAGGGCCATGGTGCAGAGGGACAGCCCTGTCTCTAGCAGTAAGAGCAGGGAACGGGCTGGGCAGTGGGGGCACATGCCTTAAACTCCAGGGGCAGAGGCAGGTGGATCTCTTTGAGTGCGAGGCTAGCCTGGCCTACAGAGAGAGGTCCAGGACAGCCAGAGCCACGCAGAGAAACCCTGTCTTGAAAAACCAAAAGAAAAGGAAGAGAGAGGGTAAGGGGTTGTGAGAAGGGGCCTGGGAAGTGACAGGGAACTGGTGCTTCCCGAGAAGTTGGCGACCAGGCCGTGGGGAGCCTGGGTGGGGGCGGCTAATGGCGTAACATTTCTGGCTCCGTCTGAGGTCCCCACCCCTCCCTGTGCAGGCTCTGGCTGTGTGTGCTGCCGCTTCTGCCTCTTCTTCAGCTCGGCCAGCATCAGGAGGTGAGTCCTCACCAAGGAAGCCGCTGCCACCCTGCGCGGGATCCCTCTGCTCTGCCCTGGCCTCCCCTATCCCCACTGGGAGACTTCAGCCCGTGGCTTGGTCCACCCAGTCTCGTTTTCAGTTAAATATCACAAAAAAGGCTGGAGTCCGACGCTACCAGCGCGTGTGACCTTGGACAACTAACAACCCTTGAACCTTGGCACTAATTCTGACCTTTTCCCCCTATGTAGCTGTTTGGACCTTCTCTTCAGACACCATCGGAGGAGGGCCAGGCCCCTGAGGGCCTCTGGGGACGTTGGGGCCGGTGGGCCCCCTGCTCCCAGCCTTGTGGGGTGGGGGTGCAGCGAAGGAGCCGAATGTGTGAACTGCACCCAAGCCTGTCCCTCCCTCCCCGACCCCCAAGACACCCAGAAGCCCTCCGGCCCAGACCCCAGACTCCCCGGGACCCCCAGTCCCTGTACAGGCCACAGCCTCGGGGAAGGGGTGGCCCTCTTCAAGGTCCTGCTTCCCAGCTGGGGAGAGAGAAGCCCCAAGGGACTCCAGGGGCCCAGAGGTGAGGCCCCGAGGAGGGCAGAGCTGAACAGGGAGGGGTGGGGTTAACAGAAAGGGGCGAGGGGCCTTCACCTCTGCAGGCTGATCTTTCAGGACAGGGATTGGGGAGACAGGCTAAGAGATGGCTCTACGTCTGCATCATCCTCTCAGGTCCTGGGTTCGAGACCCGATCAAGCCAGGGATGTTTGGTTATGGGAGAGTGCCTTTTGCCTTGCCTCTGCACCGGAGCCGTAGGCACCCCCGTAGACCCGAGCAACCCAAGAACTCTTCTGCAGGGGATGAGACCCTGCCATCCCCGCCTCTGAGCTCAGAGCCGGCCTTCGAAAACCGCAGCCCTCACACGCAGCTTCCTGAACTGCATGCCGACCCCCACACTCCCCCTGCCGAAACCCCAAGGCCTGGAAGTGCTCAGACAGAGGTGCCCCCCAGAAGCAGTCCTGCTCCCTCTGACACAGAGATGCCCCCACCCACACCCTCCTTTGGAGACAGGAGGTCTTCCCAGGGATCCCCTGGGCCACGGATGCCAACCTCCCAGGGTTGGAAGAGTCCCCAGGGATCAGGGCGACGCCCTCATCCTTTACCGTCTGTCCCTCGGAGTGGAGGCCAGCAGAGCCGGGGGCACTGGAGACCCCGAGGGAGTTCTCCCAGGTCCCCCGATGGCTGGCTGCCTCTGACAAGAGACTCCGGTCCCCTCTGGAGCCTTTTTGCTCCCAGTAGCCCTGATCCAAAGTGTTCTGGGGAAAGTGAACAGATGAGAGCCTGCCACCAAGAGGTGAGTTCTTCTCTGGGTCTCCTGGCCTGGGCTTCCCAGGATGGCCCCTGATCCGAGTCCTCAGCTTGTGGACTTGGACACAAGGGTGGTGTTCCGTGGAGCTGGCCCGCACCCCAGGTTTCCTCTCCAGCCCTGCCTGATGCCTGTGTCTCTGCCTCCTCAGCCTTGCCCCCCTGAGCAGCCAGACCCCAGGGCTCTGCAGTGTGCCGCCTTTGACTCCCAGGAATTCATGGGCCAGCTGTACCAGTGGGAACCCTTCACTGAAGGTGCAGTTTCCAGTCCCCCTGGCTGGGCTGACTCAGGTTGGGGTGGCCCCCCCTCTTCCTCCTGTGTCTTAATTCTCAGGTCACATCAGAGACTCAGCAATAGCCTACAGACAGGAGGAGCCTTTAGACAGTACTGGCTGGGTGGTCAGGACAGGAGGCGGGCCGGGAGGGGAGCTGTCGAGGTACCTGTTGGCTGTGATCCGGGAGGGCATGCGAACGGGATCAGTCCACTGGTTCCCGCAGGGAGCCAATGTCTTCACGGTGTCATGTCAGTTGCTCCCAAGTTATTGTCCGCTCGGATTTGGGCCTGTGTCAGCTTGACACCAGGACAAACCTTCATGGGCTATGAACTCATAATCACAGGTGTCAAAACCCCTTTTGAGGAAAGGTAGGATGGCTCAGTGGGTAAAGGAGCCTGCCTCCAGCCTGATGGCCCGAGTTTGGTCTCCAGA